ATTACTTTTTATAATTAATTTTCAATGAAAATAATTATCAGAAATTTTGAAAGAAAACAAATTTGTAAAAAGTAGGTTAAAAATTAGTAAGTGTTTATTTTGATCTTAGCTAAAGATTTGCCTACAAGGTCAAGAGCCTGCTTTCTGGGGTAGACTGAGAAGGCAGAAAACAAGTGTATTATTGTGTTAAACCATTTATAATAGAACCTGCTTTTATAGGAAACTACTAGAGGCCTGGTGCATGAAATTCGTGCACTGAGGGGGTGTCTCTCAGCCCAGCCTGCACCCTCTCCAATCTGGGACCCCTTGGGGGATGTCCGACTGCCTGTGGGATCGGGCCTAAACCAGCAGTCGGACATCCCCCTCACAATCTGGGACTACTGGCTCCCAACTGCTTGCCTGCTTGCCTGCCTGCCTGCCTGATTGCCCCTAACCACTTCTGCCTGCCAGCCTGATCACCCCCTAACCACTCCCCTGCCAGCCTGATCGACACCTAACTGCACCCCTGCCAGCCCAATCGCCCCCAACTGCCCTCCCCTGCCGGCCCAGTCACCCCCAACTGCCCTCCCCTGCCGGCCCAGTCACCCCTAACTGCCCTCTCCTGCCAGCCCGGTCACCCCTAACTGCCCTCCCCTGCAGGCCTGGTACCCCCAACTGCCCTCCCCTGCAGGCCTGGTCACCCCTAACTGCCCTCCCCTGCCAGCCTGGTCACCCCTAACTGCCCTCCCCTGCAGGCCTGGTACCCCCAACTGCCCTCCCCTGCAGGCCTGGTCACCCCTAACTGCCCTCCCCTGCTGGCCTGATCACCCACAACTGCCCTTCCATGCCAGCCATCTTGTGGCTGTGGGCACTGCCATCTTTGAGGGTGTGGCAGTCAATTAGCATATTCCCTCCTTATTGGCTGTGGGCGCCACCATCTTTGTGATAGTATGAGGGTCAATTAGCATATTCACTCTTTATTAGAAAGGATAGTTCTTAAAGTACAAATTCTAGTGTGAATTAGAGAAATAGATCAAGGATGCCACCAAAGTGTTACCCTGAACTAAAAGGAAAACTGATTTACCACCTACTCACATGAAGAAGAGTATGAAAGGTGCAAGCTTGAAGGAGAAATTTGGACGTATGTTTTTGAATATGTTAGGGTAATTCTGCCTTTAGACATACAGTGGAGACGTTGAATAAGTTTGCTATGCCATCTGAAGATCAGATAAGAGGTCAGGACCGAAGTTGTCATCATAGAAATGGTACTTAAGACCCAAAACTGGGTTAGTCCACCTGAGGACTTAATAAATAGCTATAAGAGAAAGTCCAGTCCACGGACTGAGTCCTGAGCCACTCCTACATTTGGAGGTTGGGACATGAAGAACTGACACCAGAGATGGAGGAGCTTAAACCAAGAGCTGTGGGTCCATGAAAGAAGTGCTTTGAAGGAGGGAGTGGTCAACAGTGTTAACTTACTGACAGATAATAGGATGAAGACTGTGGCTTGGCCCTGGGATTTGGCAATAGGGAGCTCACTGTGATTTTAACAGAATAGATACTGGGAGAGGTGATAAATAAAGCCTGATTGCAAAGGTTTCAACAGGCAGGTGAGGAGAATTGGAGACAGCAAGTATGACAGCTCTTTCAAGAATTTTGGCTATAGCAGAGAGTGAGAAATAGCATAGGGATACTACAGCGTGTATGGACACGCATATGCTATAAGTGATCCAGTAGAGAGGAGAAAAAATGATGATTCAAGATAACAACCCTTCCAACAAACCCTAACAAGGTATACTTTCTGTGATTCCATTGGGATAAAGTAATTAGCATTTAGTTGGCGAAGTAGATGTATTGATGTTTTTTCCTTCTTCATATACATGCATATCATAAAGCCTGTTACATATGCATATTTTAAGAAAAATATTTTTAATGGAGCCATAACAGAACCATTGAAAAGTAAGTGGTTAAAATTGTCTTTGCTCCAGGCCCTCACTTCTGCATTCCTCCCATGAAAGATAATGAAAAATCTTGTGGCCCTAAAATTCAGCTAAAAAAATTCATGCCCTGGGATTAATGAGTGTGTTACTTCTCCAGTAGTATTTTAATTTACAGAAATATTTAGGATAAAATTATATAAGAAATTACTTCAAAATAATCTAGTTGGGGAAAAAAGATAAACTGGGTGGGGAGAGAGATAAAAAAAAAGTTGGCTCTGAGTTGATAGTTCATTTTAAAGCTGGGTGATGGGAATATGGCAATTCCTTATACCATTATCTCTTCTTCTGCATGTGTTTCAAAATTCCCATAATATAAAGCTAAACATTAGAAGAAACATAGTGTCAATACCATGCTTAATCCAAATAAATCCATTAAATGGTGAAATTTCAGATAATTTGGTAACAGGTAAATATTTGGGGGCACAGGACTTTTTTTGGCTTTTTCTAATCTTATCAGTTGTTTTGCTTTTATATACAATACAAACTTATTTTTTACTCAGAAGGTGTCTCAGTTGCTTTAAGATAGAATTAATTTGGATTCCTATTGCACAAATAATTTGAGACTGGATTTTTATAAACAAAGGCTTGGTTCTCTTAAACATCTTCTCACTTTAGGTAACCATAAAAAAACATAAGAACACTTATGTTACAAAATATGTTCTGAGGTAAAGTAATACTACAGTTAAAAAACAATGACAATCTAGTTGGTTATTACTTAAAAGAATAAATAGTTGATTATACAGAGAAGGTGAAATCACTTAAGGTTCGATTCCTGGTCAGTGCACATGCCCAGGTTGCGGGTTCTCTATGGGAGGCAACAGATTGATGTTTCTCTCATATCTCTCTCTCTCTCCCTCTCCCTCAAATCAATAAAAACATATTTTTAAAAAGTTTCTAACCTTTCAAAAGTAGCAAATGTAGAAACAACAGTGTTGCTACCTTAAGTATTCAAATAGTAACCACTAGGTATTCTTTAGTGTATTCCAGTTACTCATGAACCACTCTTTAGTGTTATTGTTACAAGAATTGTCAGTAATTTCCACCAGGGAAAATTGAATAACAAAGTCCAATAAATTTCCTAGATCAGAAGAATATTCAGATTTTATTAGTAGCATTCTTCTTACTTGTGATATATTCATTAACAAAAGTCCACTATGTAATTTGGGACCTATACATTCTACTTCAAAAACTAAACCCAAAGGTATGTTGTTGTGCAGCTTATGGTTTCTTTTGTATGGCTTTAATGCCCTCAACAATTCCTTGGTGTAAACTACTGAGCAAGGGAACAAGATTTCCTTTGTAACTGATACCTAAATTTCTATTCTGCTTTAAGCGTCTAATTTGCACTGTGAAGACATATAATTTGAGCCTTGTAGCTATATCACAAAAGTACAACAGTTTATGCTGATCTCTAATTTTCTGAGTTGTGCTGGCTATAATTTAAATTTTTTGCATGTTTTTAACTGCAATGCAAACCAGTATACATGAGAAACCTTTGTATATTGACAGAGGCTGGGAAAAAGATGCCTTGTTCTGATTTCAGATAAGCATTCCCTTTTCACAACAGCAGGTGCAAGGGAGCCCATTCATAATATTTGCTTCAAGTCAGTTATAGTTACTGACTGGAAATGCAATGCTATTACAGGAGAACTTGACTAATCATCACAAGCCCAATGAATAAAAATTATTACTATTATTAACAAATTCTAGAGGCAAATAGGACTTTTTCCTTCGCCTACGAATTGGGGACATAATATATGCTGTTGACACAATTTTGGTCATTTTACTATTGTGTATCTGTTTACTAAATCTAGAAAAACACTTTGTCACTTATTAATACAGGATGGAATTATGCTCAGTGGAAAATTTGCTGTAACAAATGCATGTTCCACTTAAGAGATAATTGATAATGAATGTTACGCTTTCCTTTGCCTTGAGTTTCACTTATTTTTAAATCAACACATAAGGCAAAAAATAACCACAAGATAAAAATTTACTCTAATTGCTCTCATTTCACATAAGTGGGTAAATTCCTTTTGAAACATATATGAGACAACTATATAAGCAACCAATAAGTGAAGCTAGCTGGATGTTTCCATTAGAACCCTTATTTATAAGGTTATGACTTGACCATTTTAATTAGCTTCAGGCAGAAACTTGGCACACCAGTTCAAAGCATTGGGGAAAATTTTGGTCTACAAAACAATTATAATTCTCCTTCAACAGGAGAGGTCAGAGAAAGGCTCTAATAGAATTTAAGGACTGGATGGCCACACACAGATAAAGTAAATTAAAAAATAAACTGCAGCAATAATCATTGCCTGGGCAAAAATAAGTGTTTGGCTTGTGTATAAAACCAGTAAGAACGCATCCTAAATTGATGATTATTACTATTACTTATACTGTGTTTGCTAGCAACCTAGTAGTGTCACCTAACATTTGCATATAATTCAAAAGTGCCAAAACGCTTTTGCACTTTTAATTCATTCAGGCTGAGCACTGTGACAGAAGAAACTTGTATGCTGCCATCCTTTTCCTTCATGTCCCCAAAAAACAGAAGACTCACTCCTGTTACACCCATTTATCCTCAGCCTTGAATCAGATACAAGCTAGTTATTAGACCCACATGCTAGAAAGATGTGGAGCATCTTTAAGGATGCCTTCAAGGATGGGGCAGAACCCCTAAACTGGCTTCTGTAAATACCACTGCCCACACTTCCAAACGTCCATTCTATTACTGCTTTCCCAACATCCAGGAGCAACACACAGTATCCCCACTTATAATTAGTGATTGATGTCACTCCAGGGCGTTCATGCTTGACACCTGGCCTCCCTCAGGCCACATGTGATGGGGGATAGTGCCACACACCACCCTTCTGAAGTTCTACGGGCAGATGGAAGGAGACTGACACCCGGCCACTTAACTGGCCGGGATGCTCCTCAACCCTTGCAAGACCTTTGAGGAAGAGAAGAAAACAACACACACACACACACACACACACACACACACACACAACTTACCACTTTGGCCCAGTCCAAGAACAACTGAAAACACCCAGGCCGCCCGGAGGAATGGGGTAGGACCTGGCCGGCAGTTTTGAAGGCAGACAAATGCGGCAGTGAGAAAAGCCAGGGCCGAGCAGCACATAATGCAAAGCAGCCCACACAGCGCCCGCCGCTTGGCTGCTCTCTGGATGCGCGCTCGCGCCTCCCAGGCGCACCTTGGGGCCCGCGGACCAAGTGTCGCTAGGATGTTTCCAGCAGGCCCGGCAGGCGGACCCCGCGGCTCGGAAGAAGCGGTGCAGGTACGCTGGCCCAGGCACTGCTCGGCATCTCAGGGCCCCTGCGGCCCTCCCAGGTCGGCGCGGTGGGTCCCCGAAATCTCCGCGAGAAGCACCTCCTCCGACTGCCAAAGGCTCGGGGCGGCAACGCGAGCGGGGCTCCGCAGCCAGCTCTGGGACAAAGAAAAGAGCTTTTGTTTCTCTCCAGCCGACGGGAATTCTGCTGCATAAATCAGCTTAGCGAAGAGCCAAACACAATCAAACCCAAACAAAGCCCGAAGCTGGGGGGAAAAACCAGCCTAATGTACATTCACTGGGTGATGCTGCATCTGTGGGAGGGGACGCCGGAGGGGAAACAAGTCTATGTCGCATCAATCAGCGAGAGCTTCTTCCACAGGTGGGCAGGGAGGCCAACTCCACTTAGTTGCAGCTTTGCAGCCTCGTTGACCAGAGGACAAAGTCGAAGTGGCAGCGTCCTTGCTGGCCGGGAGGAAGCTTGGGGCGCCAGCAGCAAGGGGAAGCGGCTCCGGGAGCGCCCGAATAGTCCCCCTCGGCGCTGGCGGACTCAGAGCGAGGCATCGCAGCTCCCGGCTTGGGTAGGAGTGGAGGGCACCGCTGCGGGGGTGCTAAAGCCCGGCCTCGGGGGGCGGGAGCTTCGTGCCCTCGTTCTCTTGGCCTCAGTGTACAGCTCAGATGTCCGGCCGTCCAGAGCCCAGGCTGTTGGCGCGCTCAGGGGTGCACCCCGTGAGGATGAGAGGGAGACCAGTTGGTGGGGGGCGGGTGCCCGCGGGTGCCGGGGGTAGGGGGGTGACTCCCTATGTGCTGATAGTTGGGCGCGCTCAGGGCCCTGAGTTGCTAGGAAACCGCCCCACGCTATGGAGCGCCCGGGCCCGGCAGCCGAGAGGCTCGGAGGCAGCTCGCTGCAACAGCAAAAGCTCGGAGTAGCAGCGTGGGCGGGACATTAGTGAGGCATGAAGTCACCGCGGCCCACACTCGCTCTTTGTTTTGCTCACTCCAGCTCTTTCTCTCCCCCTTGACTCTAATGGTTGCCATTCCCATAGTTCACAAGAACTCCTGAAGTGTAGCCGCACAACAGGAATCGCACGCCCTGTTCTTTTCCTTCTCCTCCCCGAATTCCTGCTCCCTAACGCTCGCCTACCGGCTGCAGAGGCTGGCTCCGCGCAAGCGGCAGCTGCGCGCGAACCCCAGCCTCTCGCCCCGGGCTCTGCGCACTCCTTTGTTTGGAGATACTCAATGCTCAGCAGCTGCCGCCTGCAGAGCGGAGTCCCGGAGCCTCACCCCACCTCCAACACCCTCTGTCCTCGGAGCGCGCACTACCTACTTTGCCTGCAGGGTCAGGAGCTCATCCTTTGCCCCACCCCAAGACTGTACCGCGTCTCCCCAACACTTGGAGAGTTGATCCGTCCAACCAGGTTAAGGTGAAATATGCCGGAGTTTCCAGTCTGCAGGAGCTGCACTAGCAGCTGCTGGCTGAAATTTCTCGTGGCTCCTCCACTCGGAACATCAACCCTGGGCTGGGCAGCCCTGCTCTTTAACAGGGTCTGGTGGTGGCTCTGGGCATTTGCTAGTTTACCTTGGGTCTTTTGACCTAAAAGTCAACTTCCCAATAAACTGAACAAAGAAGTTACAAAGGCCGGCGAAACAGGGGAGAGAAGTGAGGCAGGGAGGTGGGATGGCATTTCTGCTGCTTGCAGATCAGAAATTTAGGGCCTGCAGGGAGGGGTGTTTTGCTGGGCAACTGTGGGGGAAGCCATGCGCCTCCTTGGGTCCTGTCACTAACAGGCTAGGCCGAGGGAGAAAACGCAGTCCTCCGGATTGAAAACAAGGCACTGTTTCCAATCAGACCCAGAGTGATGCTTCCCTTTTACCTCTAGGGGCAGGAGTGGTTCGCCCTGGTAAAGTCTGACCTCTTGTTTCCCACTAGCTGCCTGCCAACCTCTTTCAAAGAGCAGCCTCCCCTTACGGGCATCAGACCCGTCCAGCCAGGTCAAGGTGAAATATGCCGGAGTTTCCCTCTTCACTTGCTTAATAGTTTCTGTCTCCATATTTGGAGTAAAAAATAAGTAGGAGGCGTTCTCTCTTTTTTCTTTCTGTTTTCTATTTGTTAACTGAGTGAATGGAAAGTACCTGATTAATAAACCACAACATTGAAACTCCCCCTTTTCAGGTGTGGACTGCACATTGAAGCCCACAGAATTAGCTAAGCAGACCAGGAACCCAGTTGGAAAATTACAAGTGCCCTGGATCTACAAAGCAGGTTTTTGTGTGTGTGTGTGTGTGTGTTTTTTTTTTGAGAGCCCAAATGAATAATTCAAACCTGAAAAACTGGTACTTGTAAGCACAGTTCCACTATAGGCAATGTACTCTAAATATGTACAGTGAAATCCAGCTCAGCTTCATTATTTATTTTCTTTCCTTAGTTCCAACTTTGAACAACTATAGTTTTGCTTTTCATGGTCTTAAAGGAAAGGCCTGAGAAGTGGCTGGATGGGGAAGAGGACTTGAAATTTGAACACAAAATGAACACATTCAAACTCTAATTAGTACTCTTCAGTGGGGTAGCATGTATATTTTCCAGAGATTATTTCACAGTCCAAAGGAATGCAGCCACCCTTGAGACAGTGCAGTGCTATAATAAAGAAAAAAAGCCATAATCCCTATAAGGGTGTGTGTGATGTGCATTCTATATTGTAAAGAAAGACTTCCACATTTTGTTTTTGAAGCCCAGGCAAATATATGTCAGGATGCCACTTTTATGGAGTTGTTGAAGAAAAAGCACAGCATCATTTATTACCACTTCCCAGTTTCAAAGAGGTTATAATCCGGTTATCAAAATAAAATAAAACAGAATATCCCAGTTGTGAGGCTGTGATCCTTGTAAGTTATTTACAAACAAGTTATCTGTACATTTTGGGCTATAAAGTTAAAAGTGAATTCTCTTGAGTCCTGCAAATAATCTGTAGAGTTTTCTTACAGTAAATATAACTAGTGGCCTAGAACAAAAAGTTTCCTTGTTTTTAATAAGTGCCATCGGTCACCACAATTCATTCTTTTTCCTGTAAGAAAATGTACAGCATATTGTGAAGAAATGTGGTATTATCTTCCTCATATTACCTGAAAAATTCTAACAGAGAGAAAAATGTTCCAGATTAATTCCTGTCTTTATCATGTTCTGCTGTCTTGCTTTGAAATTTCTGACAGCTAATTTTTCATCATTTGTGATAATGAGAGCAAATGAAATTCACAGATAGTGTAAAAGTAGTAACATTTTAGCTATTCATTCCAGCCTTCCTATCATCAGATTCTTTTAGTTGTTAATATGTCATAAAATTAGATGAATTAAGTTTCTTTCCTACTACTTTAACCTTGATTTCTCACTAACTCAGTTTATGGTGAGAATGAATAAGCTATAGAGGAATCACAGGAATGAGAGAAACATCTGGGAGAGTGCCCTTTTCCTGTGTATTCAGCCTTTTAAGTAGATTTTGTCCAAATTTTTGACCTCATAGTTACAGCTAAAACCATATCCACATTTTAATGTTACAGATGCTCCTCAATTTATGATAGGGGTATGTCCTGATAAAACCATCGTAAGTTGAAAATACCATGTCAAAAATGCATTTCACACACCTAACCTACTGAATATCATAGTTCAGCCTAGTCTATTTTAAGCATGCTCAGAACACTTACATTAGCCAGTTGGGCAAAATCACCTAACACAATGAATACACTGTGGAGTATCATTTGTTTACCCTTGTGATGGTGTGGCTGAGTTCAAGCTATGGCTGGCTGCCACTGTCCAGCATCATAAGAGAGTATCATACTGTGCATATCACTAGCCAAGGAAAGATTACAATTCAAAATTTGGAGTATGGTTTCTACTGAATTCATGTTGCCTTCACAAAGTTGTAAAATAAAAAAAAATTGTAAGTCGCTTCATCGTAAGTTGGGACCATCTGTATCAGAAATTGGTATCAGAGATATTTAATAGGTTTAACAGATATTCACAAGTTGTCTATAAGCGTGTTTCATCCATAGCTCTTAGGAGATGATGAAACAGCCCAACCTTTGAGATGTGTTATTGTGACTATGACTTCAAGCTTCTTCCAATGATAAGGAATATAAGCCAGTAAAAGTTACTTTTCACTGAAATATTACGTAAGTTACTGTTCTTCATACTGTGGACTGAACACTGCCTCCAACATAACTATCTGTAGAGTGATACCTTAGTTCTATTCCAGGAGTTTCTGGCTTTGTAGATCTGGTGTGCATTATTATGAGTTTCTAAAATGGTTCTTTATGCACTGAGGTTTAAGAACCTCTCCCATAATGGATTAATACAGAGATTCCTGAAAGGCCCCATGTGTGATTATGGACGAACTTCAGTATCAGGTGCAAAGTCAAAGAAAAATGAATTGCTGGAGCCAGTTCTCTTCCCAAGTTATTCTGTGGATGATTAACTCTGAGATGTTAGTGTTTTAGGCTATAAAACTTACATAATTAAGTTCGGGAAGTGCTGGGTTAAAGGCAAGTGAAATCATTTACTGGAGGATTTTCCAGAAACTTGAACAGGCCGGAATGCAATTAGATTCTCCAAAGGAAGAACCGTTTATTCGGGGAACATTTCACAGGCTGGTTTTCTATAAAGTACAGTGGTGGGACTTAATCCTACTTTACAAATGTGGAAACTAAAAACCAGGTTGGTGAGGAGACTGACCTCACTTCAGGAGAATTACTGAGCAGGCAGGAATCAGAGCTCTGATTTCTTCTCTACCATCTCATATCAATGATGACTTCTGGTTTCAAGTAACAGAGTCAGACTGTGTCTGCCATAAGTAAAAAAGGAAATTATTGGAAGAAAATCGGGAATTTATAGAATCAGCAGGAGGCTGAGTGACCAGGATTGAAAAGGCCAGAAACCAAGGGAGGAGACATAAGCAATAGCAGTATTGGCCAGGTAGCGATAATGCTTTCTAATGATCCTTTCATTTTTGGACAGCTGGTTCCAAGTTTCACAATCCTGGTTGGGAATGTCTAATTTTCAGAACCTTAGTCACTTATCAGTCCCTTGGCTTACTCTAAGGGTGGAGTGTGAGGAAGAGGAGCTCTTCTCTTTGGCTTTCTCAGTGGAAAATCTAATTCTGTTTCCCAATAACATGACATAAAATTGTCTTAGGTTAATGAAGGGAGCCTTGCAAAGTGACAAACACTCATTATTCACATATCCCAATTTCCACATGCTACAGCTTTTCATTACAGTTGGATTTGGGGTAATGATGCAGCTTTAATTTAGCTACCCTGCCCACTAACCCATGCTTTGGTTAGCAGTTCTAGTTATCTTCATGGGTACTTTTGAATAAAACATTTTATCTATGCATAGTTTCATCCTAGCTTTGTGGTATCCTTCCATAGCATGCAGCAAACTAATGTTTATTTAGCCTTTAACTCATTATCAGAATGATTATAGAGATGTGGTATCTGAATTAATTTTTTAATTTACATTCTTTATTAACCAAGTCTGCAACAGATGCTTTGTTGACCGCCCCCCCCCTCCCCCCCGTGTCCTTTCAGGCACACTGCTTCATTCCACACAGCTAGAAGTGCTAGGGAATGAACACTTGTCAGCTAAGGCCTGGCCCAACAGGAAGTGGGGTATAAGTACCCTAGCTCCCTGGCTCCTTCTTTGGAACCACCTTGGGTCTTGTGTTCTATACCAGTGTATCTCACACTATTGTTGGACCAGTGTTTTATTTTCAGTCCATCATGGATTGTTACTTTAAAAATAAATTATTAAAAAATGGCTGTCATCTTTATTCCAGAAGTGGCTCTGAGGGGGCATGCGGCTTAGTGTGATCTTTGTTAGCTTCCACCATGGCGTACCGTGGCCAAGGCCAAAAGGTGCAGAAGGTGCAGCCCATAAACATCATTTTCAGATACTTGCAAAATAGATATCGGATTCAGGTGTGGCTTTATGAGCAAGTGACTATGTGGATAGAAGGCTGTATCATTGCTTTTGATGAGTATATGAACCTTGTATTAGATGATGCAGAAGAGATTCTAAAACAAAGTCAAGAAAACAACTAGGTCAAATCATGCTAAAAGGAGATAATATTACTCTGCTCCAAAGTGTCTCCTCCTACAAATGACGTAATGAAGTGAGAAATTATTGAAAAGCAATATAGTTTGTGTTTTATAGGTGTCCTTTGTTAGGAGAATAGTTCTTACCTATTTATTCATATTGGCTTACAATACCCTTATGTTACTATCAGATGACAATAAATGATGTTGAATTATTTTTGTTTAAAAAATGAGTGTCATAAAAGTATCAAATTGTTATAAAAGTTTCTAAATATTTACTTTTACTTTTTATACATTCTTTATATTGAACCAGTCTCAAACAGTTCAAGGACTGGTACCATCACACAATACATTTTGAGGAATGTTGAGTCCCTTTGTCCCAGGTTTCTTATAGGAGTAAGTGCAATTGCTCACAGTGATAACTGTATTCAAGCATATCCTCTATTGGATGCCTTTCCCTCCCTCATTTCCCCACTGCTTCCTGGTTTTTCCTTGTCTCAGGGTCTTCTTCTAGAATTTAGAGGAACCTAATGAAGACAAGTAATTAAGGAGCCTGGAAACTACTCTCTGGTGTCCTCCATGTGTGAATTTGAATTTTATTCTTGTCTAGCTATAAGGCAACCCAGAGAATAAAAAGCAGTAGGGCTTTGGAGTATGAAAAATATTAATTTTGAACCTGCTACTTACTAGCTGTAGAACCATGAGAAAATTATTTAACTTTCTTGTGCCTCAGTTTATTTATACAATGATGAAATTAAAATAACTACCAGAATCGAAAATTAAATACCAAGATACTTCCCTAGCTGGTTTTGCTCAGAGGCTAGAGCATTAGCCGGTGTACTGAAAGGTCCCGAGTTCGATTCTGGTCAAGGGCACATAGCTTGTTGCAGTTTCCCCAGCCCTGTTCGGGGTGTGGGCAAGAGGCAACCAATCGATGTGTCTCTCTCACATTGGTATTTCTCTCTGTCTCTCCCTCTCCCTTCCATTCTCTCTAAAAATCAATGGAAAAATATCCTCAGGTGAGGATTAACAAAAAATAAAATAAAATACCAAAATACCACTACACTTCTATTAGAATGGCCAAAACCCAAAACAGTAATAGCACCAAATGCTGGTGAGGATGTGGAACAACAGAAACTCTCATTCATTGCTAGTGGGAATGCAAAATTGTATAACTAC